GGCTTCGTGCCTAACCTAACGGGCTGAATGAGACTCTAAGAATAGGAACGCCGACATCGCAGCGATGCGCTTAGTTGCATGCATACACTGCTGCCCTATTTCCCGCTTCTGCACTTGGGGAGTAGTCGAGTCGCATGCAACCAGAAATACACGTGCGGAAGGCGATAGTGCCACCCCGCCTCTTATGCGCTACCTGCGTCCTTCCTTGTAGTTTATGGTCAGGAGATATGGCTGGGATCTGCGTTCCCTCTCTCTATATACATATATCTCGCTCGCTCTGGCTTTGCATGTGCATTACGCAAGGCAAAGAGGCACTCAATGCCTCCCCAAGAGGCGCGTTGCTTAGCCAGCGCAGGTTAGTTCCATGCAGCGCCGCCCATACTTAACGGCATAAAAATTCCCCTGCGTAGGGGACGGCGCTACGTGTCTGGATGGAATGCACTCCGGACGAACCAGGTCCAGAACATGGGGCTTTACGGGTGGAAACGCCTCACTCTGTTCCCAAAGGGAAGCATGGCCACTGCTGCGTAAACCCTAGCGCCTGCAAGCCACCGTAAATCCTTCTTTGCCTCGCGTCTAGGATTGAGCCTTTGGGGTGCGCAACGCGTGATGCAGAGGCACGGCACTTGATGGGATGGCTGCTAAACCGATTCCTAGTGCAGACCGGTAGCTCGCGCTGTCACGGGGGTGTAACTTCAAGGTTTAGGACATGAGGTCCACGGCTCGAGGAATAAGCGCTTTAATCGACTCGATGTATTCTTCCAGGCCGTAGCGGTCTCTAAGATAAGCTGAAATATCCTCTGTGCGGCTCAGCTCCTGTGGCGCATTGGGCAGACGCAAGCATCAAGTGCTCGCTCTTTAAGAGTGCCTCTGCCTGCGAAGCAGCTAACCCAACGGCTCTTTACTGAAACTGAGGGTTTAGGATTTGTGGAGCGATACCTGAAGGACTTGCTTGACTTTTGAAAGCTCCTTGTCTCCTCGGTCTCCTGTCCATGTGCTGACAGGCACACCTTTGCTGGGTTGCATAAGGAAGGAAAACACCGAATTATCAATCAGGCAAACAGACTGTTCCTCGCGCCCCAAGCGCCTCAAGTCTTTTATGTAGACCCCTGAAATGCAGCTGCAGTGCTGCCGGTATAGCCGGTAGGAGATGAGACGCTTGTGCGGGTCGATGACATCCAAAATCTGAAGTCCAATCACAACAAGACACGCCAGCCAAAGCGCACCAAAGCTTTCGCGTCTTTCAACATGCGCACATAGCGAGACTTATTGCGCTCCTGGGGCAATTGCTTTTTACGGGCTATTTCCCCTTCTGCGTATATACGGGCGGGAAGTGCCTGTACGCTACTTTCCTTGTGTCTGCGTGTGTGTGTGTGTGTGTGTGTGTGTGAATGCGTGTGTGTCCATGGGCGACAAAACTCGTGTATCTAGCTGCAACGAAGAGGCGATATATGCTTGCCGATCGATTGAGGCACGTTGCGTGCATCACAATACGCTTTGCCTCTCTTCTGCTGAGAGACAGGCAGTCTGGTGCATACTCTCCCTGGTCAAAGGTATAGGTGTTAGCAGTAGTGGTGGGTAGGCTGTAACACGGCGATGGGATACGCCCTCTGAGCTTCGTGCGCCGTGTGTGTTGCGAGCAGCTGTAGCGACAGCAGAGCCCCAAGCGCACGCATGCACTGTGAGGATGTTGCCAGTTTCCTCTCACCTTGTCTGCATATGCCTGGGAGCTTGCCGTGAACAGAACGACTTCGCCCAAGGAGGCAGCCAGCTCCAAAAGGCTCAGTGCATGGGGCCGTACGTAGATGGAGGCCTGAAAGGCGAATTTAACGGCATAGGGAAGAGGCCATATGACATAGGACTCCAGAGAAGAGGCAGACTAACAGACGAACTGGGGGGGGCAATGCAAATAGACAACGAAGCAGGGCTGCAAACCCCCGCAATCTGCAAGAAACATATTAACCCATGTCAGTGAGCTCTGACCGTCCTATAGCCCTGCGCATACACAGCCATCCACAGGGCACTGAAGGTGATTGTTTCAGTTGAGCGTGTGGGTGGTGGAGCCTGCATGCACTGAAAAGCTGGGCCGAAGGCGATGATGGGCCGTGCGAAGGCGGGTCTACTGTACCGCAGAGGACGGCACATCCATTGTCTAGCGACTCTACCTATGTACAAGGCAAAAGGTTTGAGACGTACAAAGAATTTCGAAGTCGAAACAAGGACATTGAAATCTGGTGGGGATATGGTCTTGTCAAAACTGCAGTGCACTAGAGTTTCATCCAAGTCTGCCGGGCAGGGCACAACGCAATGAGGAGGTACTTATGAGGGCTAGATGCAAAGTCCAGAGAAGGAAGTTTGCGCAACCAATGCAAACGCCGTAGATTTTGGCATACTCTCCAGCAGGCGTCTCTATGCGCCCCAAAACTTTCCCTCCGTTGCGACTGCTTCTGCACCGCCCTGTTCCTTGCTGCTAATCTCTTCGACCCTTTCCGTGTATCCCCCTCGCAGGGAGGCCTACCGAAGGCAAAGGTTATCCTACGCTTCGGTTTTGGGGGCGGTAGGACCGGCTGCACATCGAAGGCAGCCCCTCGAAGACCTGCCATCCGCAAGGCGATACTTTCTCTGATTGAGGCGGAAGGGGGCTTTCGGCTAAGGTGTTCCATATCTAAACGAAACCACGTCCCCAGGGGAATTCCCGCCTCTTCTTCGTCCTCTGCCTCCCCCTCTCCTTCTCCGCCTCCTACGTCGGTGTCTGTGTCTGCCTCGCCCTCGCTCCCGGTCTCTGTTTCACCGTCCGTATCCCTTGACGTCCCGACGCTTGCAGTCGCTCGTGTTCTCGCTGTTCCTCCCTCTGCTTCTAGTCTCCGCGAGACTCTGAAGATGCGGGAGAGGCGACGAAGCATGGAATCGGATGGTCCCACGGCGCAGCGGCCTGGGGTGGCAGACGCTTCTTCTATTGCGGCGGTAGTTGCTGCTGCCGCTTGCGAACTAATTGTCTCTACTGTGGACCCCAAAGCTTCTGCGGCTGCTTTTGCCGCCGCTGCGGCTGTGACTGCCGAAGCTGGAGAGGCATCCACGTCGGTACTGCCGAGGCATTCTTCTGCTGCCACCTCTATAGCGTGTGCAACTGCCTGTGCAGTTGCCGCATCTGTTGTCGCTGTTACTGCAGACGCAGCAACTGCGACAGCAGCGGCCACGGCTACAGCCGCAGCAGGAGACGGCACAGGAACCACCGGGAGCCCGGGAAAAGACTCGGAGGAGATGCCACTGTTGAGGACTTGGTGTTGAACAGGTAACAACAACGGCTCTCGCGTGTTGTTCCTGCTGCAGTGACGCCTCATGCAGGCATTGGTGCAGCTATTGGTGAGTTCGCCGAGCGGTTCTTTGTTGCTGCCACTCACGCTGCTGTTGCCCATATGAATACCACCCCTATCGCTGCCGTTGACACCCCTGGCGAGCTGCGATTCCCTCTCTGTGAGAAATTGCGTCCACGCAGAAGAAAGCCCCAGCCCACAAGCGTTCGCCTTCTTTTCCTCTGCAGACAACACAGAAACCCAAACCCCCAGCGGATTACGCAAGGGGTATCAAAGACTCTGGGTCGCCGCTAGACAGCAAGCACCCTTTCAAGGGAGGGATAAGGGATCTCTAAGGCTTGCTTGGGCGAAGCGTTGAGGTGGCCTTGATGCATTTCCAAATGCAATCCTCTTCAGAGGGCGAGGACCCTATCTGGCAGTGGAGCCCAGGCTCCATGGCTGTGGTGTGGGCCTTAGAAGTCGATGCTACGGCTGGCTCCTCTCCAAGTTGCTGTAGCATGTGGTGCTTCTGATCCTTCAGGGGCACACGCTCCTGAAGGGGTGAAAAAAAGACCTTGCCCAAACCCCAAACCCTGAATCCGAGTCTGCTGTGTGCACTGTGGGTAGGCGGCGAGGGTAAGTGCACAGATCCCGGGAAAACCTAGGCCGCCACAAGGTGATAAATCGAAAAAAGTGTGCTTTTCGGTGAGAGGGTGGGCTATATGCCGTCGAGTTGGCGATGTAGGCCCCCTGCCTGCGCGTTCGGAGCCTCGGGTTTGGTTGCGAGGTCACTCCGACAGCTACATCCCTGGAAAAGGTGCACGGCGCAGAGCCCCAACGAGCTATAATGGTGCAAATCTTGTTAAACGGACTTAAAACTGGAAGCTGCTGTCTGGCGTTTGGGGTTGGGAGACTGTCAAGAAGAAGAAGGGTTCGGTCCCAGGGGCCGCCAGCCGGTGTTACTAGCGGCCGAGAGAGCAAACTCGAGAGCTTCGAGTTTAGGCGGCTTTGGGCTCAAGGCCTCGTCGGTAGTGACTTGGCATGCAAATAAAATGGAATTTGTGTATACGATCAGCTCTGTTCTGCACAAGAAAACTTAGAGAGATAATATTTTTGGCGATGAAACCGCTGGACGGAGTGCTCTACAGTCCTTCGGCCTTCCTCGTAAGGCGAATAGGGCTACACACCCAAAGCCTTGAGTTGCCAAACCTGCTCTAACATTGTTTTAAATAACGCTAGAATCCGAAAAAATCACCGGCTGCCGGCTTAAGACTCTACATATAAGACAGATCAATTGCAGCTCACCGTCCCCCTATCCGGCAGCGCAAGTTGCTGCAGGCTTTAAAATTACGTCCGGCTCAGATAGTCAATAGCTTGTAGAATCAGACGCTGGTGGAAGTGTGTAGGGCTATTAGTGTGCATCGATGCCACAACAGGACCTTTAGCGATAGCTGGATTGGACCTCATCTTGCCATGCAGATGCCTATGAAGCCTTTGGATTCTTACATCTGTAAAGGGGCCTCCGCGGCCATATTGGGTTTCGCATCGTTTTTAAAGACATCCCAAGCCAGTCAGTTCTCATGGCTTTGACTGGGGTGTGGCGTGCACAAGTATATCTGAGGCGAATCTATTAAAAGAACTCAGAGTGAGGACCATCAAAGGTCCCTCGACTGCTTGCCTTATGGCAGTGGGGGGCGCAGTCTCAGCCTAGCAGAATCCAAGAAAGCAACTCAAGGAAGCCTCCGAAGAGACCACCTCATCGGGCTTTCCTGCATCGGGGTCCCTCTCAGGGAGTACTGCTAGCCTGCGCATGCCGAGGAACCCACCTGGAGGAGGGGGCGCACCCCCTCCGCCTCCCATTGCACCTGCAGCATCTGGCAGGCCTCCTGTGGGGCCCCCTCCCCCCCCGAGGAGACTTCCTATGCCAAAGTCTCCTGAAGGCCCAATCATGTTCTGGAGGTTCTGTAGCAGGCCTCCGGGGGGTGGTGGCTGGGGAGCCAAGCCCTCAGGGAAGGCTCCCTCCTCGCCAGGGCTCTGAGGAGCTCCCATAGGATCCGCCCCGACAGGAGCGCCAAACTGCAGGCTGCGGGGAAAGACGGCTGGAGATGGGAGGCCCTCCGCAGAAGGGTCCCCATGGTCCTTCGTGGGAAGCACCCCATAGACCTCAGTAGGCGTCTGCTCTACCAAAGCGCCGGACGCATCAAATACGCTGGTGCCACTCATTTCGTCTGCACTAGTTGCTGAACTGCTGCCGTCACCATGCGATGCCTCGTACCCTGTGGGAAGCATCCCGCTCGCAGTGCTGTACACTTCCTCCCCCTGAAGCCGTCGCTGTTGCTGCTGCTGCGTAAGACGCCTTCCTGAAAAGCCTTCCTGTGGAACACACTGCCTTTCCGCTGAAACAAGCGGGCCTCCGTGTGTCTGCTGCGGAGAAAATGGCACATCTCCTGCTGAGGCTGCCTTCAGGTAGCACCATCGTTTGGCCAGGTTGAATGTGTAAGCAGTGCATTCTAGGAGGTTCTGGCATGCTGCCGCACACGCAGCAAGCGACGGCACTGACCCATCCTCAATCTTCTTGAGGTCGATGCCTCCACTGTCATAGCCATAGAGCAAACAGTCCTCCCTTCCTATCGCTGCTTCTGAGTCTTCTGCCGGAGCTGCTGTGGACTCTGCTCTTAGAGGTACACCCCTTCCTGAATCTTCTGCCAGACTCTCTGTAGACTCTGCTCTTAGAGGTACTCCCCTTCCCGAATCTTCGGCCAGACTCTCTGTAGACTCGCTTGCTACAGGCACACCTCCGTGTAAATCTTCTTCAGAGCTTTCCGCCACAGAGTTTTCCCTTATTGATGATGCTTCTCCTGCCTGTGATGTTCTCGGTGCTTCTGTATCGTCTGCGGCCCCTTGTGCGTTTTGTGATGCTACGCCCGCTGGTGGTGCAGTTTCCTCTGCTGCTGGCGGTTTTACTTGCTCTTCTGCTTCGTTCGCTGTGGTCTCAGTGCTGGCATGCGAAGAGGTGGCTTCCGCTGCTGCTTCCGCTGCTGCTTCCGCTCGGCTGGCAGCTGCAGCGGCAGAAGCAGCACTAGCAGCCGCAGCTGCGGCTGCCCGTTCTGCGCGATCCACTGATTCTTGTTGACGCTCTTGTTGTTGCTGCTGCAGCAGCTGCAGCTGTTCCAGCTGGGATTCGTGCTGCTGCAGCTGCTGCGTGTACAGGTTGACGTGGGTCACAATGGCATCCCTCAACTGCTGTAAATTTATTCCTTTCGTTTCGAGCTGCTTCTGCACCACTCCTAGCACTGATTCCAGCTGAGGGCTCCCGAGGGAGTAGCCCAATCCTTTGTCAATAAGGCTTTTTGCTGCGGCAGCAGCAAGCCTGTCAATCTCCCCTTGTGTTGCCCCTTCTGGGTCATGCTGCTGCTCTTGGCGGTCATTTCGCTCTTTCTGGTCGATTTGCTCTTCCTGGTTATTTTGCTCTTCCTGATCAAATTGCTCTACCTGGTCAATTTGCTCTTCCTGATCAAATTGCTCTACCTGGTCATCTTGCTCTTCCTGATCATCTTGCTCTTCCTGAGATGCCAGACCAAACGCCATGCTGGCTAACTCCGATATCAGCTCCTTTGCCTCTAGACCCGTGTGCTGCAGCAGATGCTGCTGCTCTGGCTGCTGCAGGTGCCTCAGCAGCTGCAGCACAACTTCCGGCGTTGCGCGGGATCCCAGCTGCTCCTGCAAGCCCTCCAAAACGCGTGCAGCCACCTCTCGTGCATCGCTGAGTCGTAGCAACATGAGCAAGAATTAAAGAAGCACGATGAGGCCTACACAAAGCGGCATTAGGGAACTTGCCCCTGCTCATGGCATGGACGCACAGGCAAGCAGCTTGGAGGATAAGGGCTTTGGCTTACGGAACAGCATCTGAAGGATAAGCATCTGCAACAAGAAGCCAACAGAGCGCCAGGAGGAACCCCCAGCTGCTCAACATTGCTTGCCACAAACCCATTCTTCCCATAGAAGCCAAGTCTTTGGCCTTTCCGCCGTGAAGTGTTACTGTTTAGCCTGTACTTTGCAGGAAGGAGAGCAGCTGTTTAGCTTGCCAGGGGCTGCAGCAATCCTCGCTGTATCCGACTGCGCTCCAAAACTCCCACGTAGCCACCACGCCAGATGGGGCACACGAAAAGAAGCGGCGCGCTCCAAACCCGGAGCCTTAATGGAAGTTAAGGCTTTGACTCCTAAAATGCACACCGTAACGGTACAGGATGATGGTCTACGCTTAGCTGACTACGTCTCGCAGGAGGCGGATAGGCTAGCGGTTGTCCTCAACATATCGTGAGTCGTAAACCCTCTCTCGCAGGAAACTGGAGAAAAGGTTTGTCCTGAAATAATAAATAAGGAGGAAAGGAGAACAAAAAAAGGCCGTGGTTCTCCGGAGTGCAGAACGGTAGGCTCTAGCGGGTTGAATTACAGGCTGCTCGAGGAGGGAGAAGTGACCCGCCAGCGGCCCTCTCACACTAAACCTTTCCATATTTTCATCCCAACCACTGGAGCTTCAACCCCAGCTTTAAAGTATCATTTTTTAAAGGGGCATTTGTGTCGCCAACAACCCTAGTCTTTATTCTAAAGCACTAGATATGTGGCTCGTGCAGTTGGCACTGACGAAATCCCACAGGAGCCTCTCTGCATATGCGGCTTGAAAACCCAAGACCCAGACCATTAATTGCAGCCATTAAGTTCCACAACTAAAATTTCATACTTCATGTCAAAAATGTCGTTTTCTCGGGTTTTCACTCCGAACTGTACGCCACGAGACGGGGAGGTCGCAGGCGGTGTTGAGAACTAGTTAATCACGTAGTTGCAGGCATTTAGAACCGTTTTCCAAAAAAATGCTCACACGTAACTAGCGCATACAATTAGTAGAGAGGGCATCGAGGGATCAGCTAGCGGCTCCTACGCACTGGTTGTTGTAGCTCTCGTTTTTGGATCTATAAGGGCAGCCAAGCGACAAAAAAGGATAAAACGCCCATAAACAGCAGTAAATATCAAAAATTTATTAGAAGCTGTTCTAAGCCAACTATTTTTCCTCCCTAAGATGATGGGCAGCTATGTGCATGCCCGTAGCTGCTTTTGGTGTCAAGCAGGCTAAGCTGCAGGTGCCCACTTTCTACTGCACTAGGCTTGTTTGATTAAAAGCTAGTAGTGTAATCACTTGTTGATTTGTGTGTCTGCATGGTTTATTCACGGCAGAGTTCTGTGTAAGTCCGCACAAGAAGACGCAATCTTGGGTGCGTCTGCGCTAGATGCTATGGTCAATTGTGAGCATTCGATATGCTTAAAAGGTATCGGTATGCGCACCGTAGCTGGCCCTCTCCCCACACGCTGTAGCTCTGAGGGATGCGGGCACGAAAGGAGGGTGGGCACTCTAGCAAAACACAAACTAAACTCAAGACTAAATACAAACTAAATAAAAAGTTATTGTCTTCCTACGGAGACATTACATGCAGAACACCTTACACATGGCGTTATACCAGTCTCTTCTTTGCAGCTCACAGGCTCCCTGTTGCCAAGCAGGATAGCCAAGGGCGTAGCAATTAGAGCAAGCTCGAGAATATTTCAATAATGGTATGCAAGCCCACAGAACTACTTCAGGCTGCGCGCAGGTAAAGACCACCTTTTGCCAAGCGGTCATCTGTCGGATTGTCGTGGTTCCTGCAGCCCAAACACAAAATTCCAGGAACACTTGCTAATGAAGGTAACCACTTATGTGCCTTCGAATATCACTGCTTGCCCAGCACTAGCCAAAGATTTGCTGACCTTACGTGACACTGAATGTGTAGTGCAGCTGTTATCCAAGAAAACCGGTGCAGCAGCGCAAAGCTCTTTGTTAATCTGTTTGCGAAAGTAGCGCCTACCTGGCTTAGTCCTGTTAGGCAGTGCATTTTGCCACCCTTCAGCAAACTCTGAGTCTTCAGGAATTGCTAAAGAGTGTGTGTGGCCCTTTTTATTCGCGATGCTACCTCTTTGCTTGCTAAGAATCTTGCTTTCGCTGGTCCTAGTTCTGTTGCATAAGTTCTGGCGTTTTGCATACTCTTGCAGTTCCGGATAATGCGACCCGATTCCCGGCGCTAGAAGCACATGCGTTGTTCGGGGGCTCTCTGTCTCTGCAAAAGAGCGCTGGTTCACTAATGCTGGCTTTTCTCGTTCACCTTCGCCTGTAGAGTAGGGCCAATTGTCACAAGCCCAGCATCCGTTGGTTCTGCATTCCTACTTCAGTCGTCATTTACAGTCAAAGGCGCAAGACCTGCGTTCATCTGCTCGTGGGAACCTGAGCCGTCCATCACTTTGCAGGAATTCACAGATCGACCGATAAGTCCCTGGGTCGCTACCCGCCGTGCAACACATTGAGTTGTAGAAATGAGATAAGCCTCAGATCACCCAGCCGTTTCTTCATGTTGGGGCTTTCGTTAGATCATTATTTTGCAGTTCTGTGAATAATCGGTTAGAGATTTATGTGCTAAAATTAACTTGCATCTCCCAAAGCTTGCTGTTGGCCCGATCAAGGCATACAGGCCAATCTATGGCTTCTCTAAAGGCATGCATTGTGGAAAACCATGGAGGCAAACGACGTCTGCCGTATTAAGCAGTTGAGCCATTGTTGAAACGATGGGCTCTCCACAAGGCACGCCGTAAGAACTGGCTTTCCTCTAGATCAAGGGTTCAAATTGACGGTCATCTTCAACTGGCGAGTAAAATTTTTGTGTACATTACCATCCGTACGTATTGCATGCAGTTTTCTGGCCTTAACATTATCGAAGTATCCAAACCTATCGTTTAGGCTGACGAATTGGGCCTTTCTACCGGCTGTGGTAATGCTTCTGTTTACAACGGGTTTAAGCAGGCCTCTTGCACGCAATAGGCGCTGCACTAGTGTTAGTATTGTCCGAGTGTATCTTTGTTAAACTGTTGCCAACGAATATCAAGTTATCAGGTTCCCAAATGATCTAACCAAAAGTTGGCAACTGGTGTAGGAAAATGTGATATTCTCCTGCATCCACAGCCATTTTTACAAGCGTGGAACGAGCTGCATCTATGCATATAACGCTACTAGCTAGAAACCTCCATTCGGACTCAAAGTAGGGAGACACTTCAGTCTACACTTGATGCGAACTTGGCGGGAAGTTATCACATTATTTTAAAAGAGTTCACCCCGTTGTCTGCCAGCTTCCCCTAAGGAGTATCAGCATATGGAGAGGAGGCAGCGAGGGTGCACGTTGCTACACCTTAGGTCGCTGAGCACTCACAGCTAGCTGGGCACAGCAAGTAGCTTTCACGCTGAATAACTGCGTCTAGTTCTACTAAAATAATGCTACTCTGCTGTAAATAAGAGACAAGAACAGCCAAAACAAGTCACTTCTTTTAAAATTTTGAAGTACTTTTTGCTAGTGTAGAACAAACTGCAAGAGTAGTTGAGCTCCCTACGAGCACCTCCATCGCCTTAAGGCAGCAGCTCGTTGCGCGAGCACATTGTGTGTTCCCGGCTTTCGTGCTGACCCTCTAAACGAACGTAGTGTGTTAGGCAATTACTGGAGTACTCTCCCTTTAATGGCATCCTAAAGCACATGGTTTGGTCCCAAGTTCAATACCAGAGCTGAGAAGAAAGCTGTTCGATGTTGCTAATATATATCTGCGTCCACTTCTTGTTCTCGACTTGCAGGGTCCCGGCATTCGGAAAGACAGGACAACTAGTGAACGCCTATTCCGGATACTGGGCCTATCAAGTGTTCACCCGTCCGCGAATGCACAGTGCAACTTAGCGCACAGGCACTCGGACTTCACTCCTGGAGTACTGCGTTTGCTATTGGTAACCCCAAGCAGCTGGTAAATAAAGGCAGCCAAGCCGGTCAGTCAATTCTGAATCGATTTATAGTAAAAAGCAAGCGGTGTAGTAGAAAATGTGTCAAGGTATGAAATGGCCTGATATAACTAGTGCGGGGCTGTTCTGCAGGACGCAGGCCAAATCACACCGATCAGATTTCCTGGTGCCGTCTAGAGGAGCTCGCGACCCACGGTGGGCAGTTCCTCTAGCGCAAATAGAGCGGCATTAGGACTGTTATGGCCACACACGTATTCTGCACCTGCGGAGAAAGCTGCCTGAGCTGATGGTCAGAGAGTTTTCTCGGACGGTGCTAGGGTGCGGATTTCGCTGCCTAATCTTCCCTCCGCGCTGTTTCTTCATGTTCCCTGGTCTACACGCCCAACTTGGTTACAGCAGTCGGAGGAACAAGCCCTTGTCCTCTCCACCCGGCCCCGAGCGTCTGATTTGGAGGCTTGTCAACAAGGAAGGCATCAATCTGGTTGAGTGTTTCCTGTTGCATTGCTTCGATTTTTTTGTAGAAAGAAGAAACTGTGTGGCCCTCGGATAGCACTGGGGGATTTAGCCGGCTCTCCATGGCGCTGATGGTTTCTTTCAAGAGAGAGGCAAAATCGTCGCATAGTCTCTCGCAGCCCCCACGGAGGTCTAAGGCAGCGAAGCAACAGCAAATCCATAAGTTGCGAGCATAAGCAGAGAGCCGAGCTCCCAAATGTCAGCCAGAAGGCGAACAGATCATTCACCAGCAGCTTGCACACTGCCTCCCCTTGCGTATGCAGAGGGATGCGGAAAGCGTTCGGCATCACCCTCAAAAACGCGAAAGCCAACGCATCGTGTTACTTAAGTACTGTTGCTACTACGTGTCACACTCCTGCTGCCTGGCAGATGGCGCTACAGTAGTATTCTTGCCTTTGATAGCGAGGCCAGAATCTGCGATTTCAATATCCATTTGCTTGGAGATTTGTTTCTGTTGCAGCAGCAACTGTTGCAGTTTTTGCTGCTCATGTTGCAGTTGCAGCTGGAGCGCTTTGCCTTCTACAGCCTCTTTCTCCTGCAGCTCCTTCAACTGCCTATCCAGGTCTTCCCCCATCAGTGCGCGCCTTCGCGACCTCTCCTTCACATCTTTCTCGAGACTCCGCAGCTACAGCGTTGACAACAGCAATACTACAGAACATGTGGGCAGCGGCTGCAGAATTCTGGCTGCATCAGTGCATCGTAATAGTGCTTCTCAACTTGGAGCGGGTCCTAGGAGCCTTCTTACGGTACAGACCCTAATTTACTGTGCCTGGTTTTAAATATTTTCGGGAACCTCTAGTACCCTCCATTCCCGCGCTATAATGTTTCTTTAGGCATCATTAACAGTCTACATGATTTTAGGCTTCGAGGGACTGGAATACATCACTGACATAGCAACCCTCTAAAAGCCTATTAATCCCGCACAGTGCACTGGGTACTCGGGCGGCTACGGCGTGCCCGAAAGATGCACGACGGCTTTTCCCCTCCCTTAGCGTGCCACCGTTTGAAATTATCTACTTCTTGCCTTATCTTCTAAAAGCCTTTCTTCTGCAAGGGCATCAAATCGCTTCTCCTTGGCATAGATGAACTGCCTCTCCAGCTGCAACACCTGCTGCAGGAGTTCTCTGTTTGTTTTCTCCAGCTGTGCTTGCAATGCAGCCTTGTTAGGGCCCTTTAGGGGGCTCTTGCCCTTGGCCTTGGCCAACATTTGAAGTCTCACTGCCCATTACACCGCGTACCTTCGAACTCAGACAAACCCGTATACTCTTGCGCTCAACACGACAACCTTCGCACCATATACGCCGCATAAAGCCTCTTAAAATGGAGCTCGTACTCAAACTCCTTAAATTTATGCTTTAAGTTACGGAAAAAGAAGCAAGACAGCTCAAGACACATCAGGGGCCCGTGGTATTTGGGGGCCCCCGAGCATTTTAAGGGTCTGCACCCATATGTGGACACAGGGTGGGGCTGAGAGCCTTAAAGTGAAGCCTTATCTTGTCACATTTCTATTTTGTCATTTCCAAAGGCAAAGGAGCGCACAGTATTCTGTACAGGCTCCCAGGGTGCAGTGGAGGACATGCAACGGAAGGCTCCCGCCCGCCAACGGGTCCTATAGTACCTCCCACTGTACCCTCTGGCCAAAAGCCACCCAACCATACTGCACCTTAGTCCGCAGACTGCTTTTTAGAGAAGCTCTTAAGCGCATTTCGAACCCTTGATTTGCGTGTTCCTCGCAGCAGTAGGTGCTCGCGCGCCATCGCTCTGCGTCAAAATAGCCCTTGGAGGGCCTGCAGGCTCGTATCACTAGGGCCTGAGCCCTTCAAACTACCTGCAAACCCAAAGCACCTCTTTAAGGGCCTTCCTTTCGCTGGCTATCGCCTGCAGCAAAGCGCCGAGATGATGATGCAGCGTGCAGCGAATACCCTGGCACGCCCTCCTGTAGTAGGGGCGGCCTCTTGGAAAGTACGTGGGTACTCCCTGGGGTCGGACTCTCTGGCAAGTCTTTTTTGTCGAACCTCTGGAGCATCCAGCGCTTTGCAGAGCAATTGTCGGTGGTATATGGGCCCCCGTAGGAGCCCTACAGGCCCGAGCGCTGGCAGCAGCAGCAGCAGCTCGCACACGAGCAGCAACGGCAGCGCTGTCAGCAGCATTGGAGCCAACACCTCTCCTGCTGCTTCCTTTCCGATATTCAGCACAACTTCGATGGTGACGGTGCGACCCTCTCCTCCCACCCTGGACAGCATCAGCACCGCTGGCACCACGGGAGGTCCTCAGGGGGCCCCCCAAACATTCCTGCGGGAGGGAGGCATCACGTTTTCCTTTCTTCCTAAGCTCGCTTCTAACAAAACCTTTGATAAGGCAGCAAGACTCACCGTTCTCCTCAAGGCCAGGCACATTGGCTGCCTCTTGGGACCCCTTCCGTGGGCCCCCCGGAGCATCCATGGGGGTGAAAATCCGGGCAGTAGGAGCCTTCAGGAGACTGATGCCTCTGCAGCGGGAGAAGAGTGGCAGCTGGAAGCACCGTGCGGATCAGGATACACTTTAAGAATTACTCAGCACTCTACGAAACCCCAAACGCATGTCTGCATTGCGCTCCTGCAGCAACACCCGGACCAGCTGCAGCCGCAGCTGCAGCAACAGAAGCAGAGAATAGTGCACCTAGTTGCATGCTCTAAAGGGGAGTGGCTCACGCTGCAAATGCTATTGCAGCAGTCCCTTCCCTTACTGTTCAATTGGACAGCGCAGTCTCTTCAGGCTGCCGCAGAGGATGAGGCACAAACAAATTCCAACTTGCAGGCTTGAGGATCGGCGGCGCAAAGTCTTTTATCGATTTTCTCTACGCCGGAGTCTACTGCAGTGTTCTCTGCCTTCTCATGAGAGCCCGTGCAAGTTGAGAGCGCTCTCGTAGACAGGGCAAGCGATAACTCTCGTTGCCGGAGACCGGAGGGAAGAGGGTGGGGTATGAAGGCCTTTGTCTCGACACAGAGCGCCGTTTGGTACACAATTTTGAGCCTTTTGTAAATTTATAGTGCAAGCACACTAGATGCACGGGCTGATGGATTGAGGCTGAGTTTTGGCGCGTAGGGACGTTTGGAGGCGTATACTTAAGGGCGCAAGGGATAGTATTTTCAGAATACAGTGAAAAGGTATGGCGATACGGGTGTGTGGCACCAGGTGTTTACAGCTTGAGTAGAGGCGCTGCGTGAGGCCTTTGCACGTACCCGAAAATATAGGGGCTGATTAGTCATCTGCTGCCTCATACAGTGCAGAAACACTATTTCACTTTACTCTTTAGGAAAGACGAGCGAACGACCTATGCTCAGCCTTATTTCCAGCTGATTGTTGGTCGCGAGTTGCTCGTTTACCAGTAGTTGGCGCAGCTGCAGAGAAACTATGAATAAATGACATCGGACCGGTAATCGCAACTGTTTTCTTTTTTGCTGGCCATTAACATACGAATTTACTCCGTTATGTAAAAGTGGATTCCATAATATGCAACAGATTCCGACTGGGAGCTCGTGGAGCTATAGCGACGGCAGCCACCGCCCATGCTACTCCCAAAGTTTGTGCAACCTGGATCCAGGAAACGCAAATTAACATTTAAACTCCTCTGTTTACTCTTTAAAACGTCATTTGTCGAATGTGGCACATTCATTAAGCACCTGACCGCCAGCCGGCTCCAGCGGTCGCTCTCTGGTTCCGCTTCCTCCAACTCTTTGCTTCCCGCGCTCGTGGTGGGCCCTGCGCTACCTTAGGATACCCTCAGCATTCGTTTATTCCTTCTGCTATATATCAGCTAGCTCAATGGTGCATGCCTGCTCTTCTTCTGGGGGCCCCCTTTCCGCAGCCTCTGCGATTTCCGGGGCCCCTCGGTGTCTGTCCAGGGGCCCTGTAGGCGTCCATCAACATGAAATACGGCCGGCAGACACCCTCATTTCTATCGCTGGGGAGTATAATGTGCCACTGGCCGAATTGATGCGTCTGAATCGGCTCAGCAGCTCGGAGATTTGGTTCAGGAAGCATCTCTGCATCCCTTGCAGGGACCCTGCCTGCCGCGAGCACTCAGACACTCTCACGACCAAGCAAGAAGTCCATGAGGGCTCAAATGTGGAGCCTTCGGACAGAGAGGAGGCTCCCTTCAGAGCTTGTAACGTAATCACACGCATGTCTACGGAGAAGCTACAATCTGAGGCGGACAATGTAGAAGAGTGCAAAGGAGCCCCTCAAGCCATTGCGCGGGAGCTTCAGGATGTGGCAGGGGCGAGGGGTCCCCCTGAGGCCCCCCTGAGTGATGTCTGTGACGAGCTGCAGCGGAGCGCTAACTTGGCAATGCTTGTCGAAGGTTTGGTGAGGGAGACTGAGATTCATCCGAGACTGGCAAGGCACAGGATCCTTGCGCGAGATGTACGCTGAGCGATAATACCCAGAAGACGGAGTTGAGTAAATGCTGCGTCAAGCGGGAAATAGTCCCGTTGCACGATCCTTGACAGAGGAGCTGTGGCCTTTGAAGAGAGTTGCTTGAACTGAAAATCGTGCAGCCCAGCGAACACGTGCAGAGCAAAGGGCAACGCACAGGGGAAGCAGACGGACGAGCGAATCCGCGCCCGCAAAAAAATTGCAAGTGAAAGGGGTGCAAAGTGTGGTACACGTTTCATTGTGCATGTGCAGCTGGAATATGACTTGGCTCTGCGCGACTGCCTAGACCTCCGTCGCTGGCAGCGCGAGTTGGACTTGACAGTTCCTGAAGTCCTCTCCTATTTGGTACTTCACGATGACGACATCGACAGGGCGTATGCAGCGCTCGTTGATGACGCTAATTGGCACTCGTACGTTGGGCTTTGCCTGGCGAGAGGGCTTCGGGTCTGAGTGCTTCCAGTCTACCTACTTGCACCTCTTGTTTCTGCGTATGTCTGCTGCAAACTTTTGGCGTATACTTGACTGGCCGCTTCCCGTGCTCAGCTTTTCGTCCATACGATTACACTGTTCGGGCCTTTAGGATGTACCGCCTGTGTTCCGTATTCTGCGATCTTTTTTGTTTTCGCTGCCTGTCTGTTTGCTGCAGGGAAATTCACAAGGCCAAAGCACGCCTATCCCCTCCTCGCTCGTCTTGGATCTCCCAAATAATTCCCCGTTTCTGCGTAAGGGCCTCCACTGCAGCTAACAGCATAGGCCTGGGGCCCCCAACCGGGGCTGCGCAGGGCCCCGAAGTGTACCAGGGAGCCTGGGGGAACGTAGTCGCTCCTGCGACAGGATCACCTCAAAGGATTGGGGAAAACAACAGAGGGGGTCTCCCAGTCACAGTGCCTGCTCAACTGATTGGACGGCCGGCTACTGCGGCAGGTGTAAGCCTTGTCGAGGGTACTCTGGACCCCTCCATTCCAGAGTTTTTCTCCACCTCTCTAGAAGGACTCAGGAGGAGGAGGAGGGGAGTCTCCGGCTGCACAGAAGCTGCCACTTTAGGAGCCTCCTTGGGAACCCTTTTGCAAGCGCCTATTGGGACAGCAGTGGACGAGGTGGCCGACCACGTAGACACGCAAGACCAGTAGGGTGTTGCTGTGCATAGGCATATGGGGTTTATTTTTTCACTGGCCGCACGTCGGTATCTGCGGACATGTAACTCTTTGGCTTGGTATGACCATCTGTTGGTTTTTGTAAGTGCATATGTACATACATACATATATATATATGTATATGAGCACCTGTGTATACGCGAATTTGTGCAATGTCAAAACTTTCCACCTGAACCCGTTCCCTCTATACCCGACGAGACTCCCCCTGTTGTTTTTTTTTCGTACGCGAAAGGCCGTGCCGTTTGAGTCCTGTTCCTTCTATCCAAACGCTTTCCAGCGTGTTCAGAACGTGACGTATTATTCCCGTGACCAGGATGACAGTCTAGGGTTTCTATCATTCTAGTTGCCCCCGATGCGGTGCCTAGGGGTCTAGAAGACCTATGGGACTACCCATGGCATTGCAATGGTTTTGTTGTAACGCCCTGCTATCTTGATGGGGTTGACTGCCACGGGGCTTGCACGTGTCCTCTTTTGACGTACAATGCTGCACCTCCAAGGGCCTGGCAGTGAATACTCTCGCTCTTCTCAGCTTTTTTTCGGGGAGCAATTGCCAAGGTCTTCAATTTTTGGAGTTTTCAAAATATGTGTACGCACTTTAGCTAGTCTGTCCAGGAGAGAGCGCAAAATTGCGCTCAAGATTGAGGAATGCACGTTTTCACATATGCTGAATACCACGGATGGCAACAAGCTGATCAGCAACTTCCTCAACCACAAGCTTTAGGGTGCAGAAAGATACTTTTATTTGATCAAGAGGTGCAACTGCTTGCTCAGGGTTTCGGGGCTACATGCCCTCTCCCATAAGCGCCTGTTCGTACATTTCTTGAGGGGTTTGCGGCGTTGTGATTTTCCTTGCTTCTTCTGCGATTGCCTCCTCCGTCTCGGCCTGCACGGTGATTGCGGGCTCACAGAGGCGCTTGCTATTTCCGATGATAGGCATGCATGCAGTGGTCTTCATGATTTGCTCAGCAGAAAATACGGGGGCACCCTACCTGGGGGAATACGCATATGGAGCTCCGAGGACCGAAACGCACAAGGCGCTAACTGCAGTTCGTGTTTTTCATGTTCTTAGCCTTGCTTGTCAGTCTGAGTACAAGTGCAAAAAGGAGAGCTTACGCTGTGCCAGCGTTTCGGGGCTCGGTTCTTCATTCGGGCCTAAAAGGGTGTCACACGAGTTGCCTCTCTGATTGCATGCTGTCAAACGGGGCTGTTCAATTACTGGGGGCAGATGTTGGGACGGCTTCTGCAACTCCAGGAAGCGATGCTGCTTTAGGGGTCTCGGACGCCACATTGTTGATAAATATAAAGGGCACCTGGAGTTCATAATCGTTTGAGAGAAGAAATTATTATGTAAGTAAAAATGATCTAGAAATTTTAGCTTCCCCACTCAGCATTCGATACAAGAACACACGGTTGATTTATCCTTCTCAGGATCCCTTTACTGACTAAACCAGAGCTAAGCTGCTATACAAATTTCGAGCAAATAGTTTACCTGCTGACTTTCCTCTATAGGCAATCCGACACCAGGGACTTGGAAAGTTTGAATATTACTGGGGGCCTTGTTTTCAAACATGACTCCCTCTGGGGGCACGTTGGCAGGAGGTAGTGCTACCACCCTGTGAGTTGACGGAATGACCGAAACGCTTGCTTGCCCCGGATGTATCGCCTCTTTGAGAGGTACGTGCTCAGGAGCTGAAGTCTCTACCTCTCCGGGCTCCTCTTGGAACTCATTTTCACCAGTGGGTAACGGCGGTAATTGGGAAGATGTAGGATAGATGATGCAGGACACGGCCAGCAAAGCAAGGATAAGTGGAAGCTTTGCATTTTCAAGCATTGTCAAGGGATGCCGGTAGAGGAGATTTGAGAAAAAACACTCCCCAAGGGGATTACATCGAGAAGAAGTTGCAAGCTCAGTTTGTAGCTGTCGATACACTCTAGGTATCCAGAACATTTGTCATGAGGCAGGGTATGCGGTTGGGACTCTACTTCTTTCTATTTCGGAGCTCTTAATATGATAAATTAGGCAAGCAGCCTGAACTAAGAAGGTTCCTCTGACTCGCATACGCACAGGTACTCCCATAGAGTGGGCTGAATGCATTCGGGCAGTGGAATGCCGTGTTTGTGCACAATAGTCCATAGACATATTGTCCTTCTCGTTCAAAACACATGTCGGCTCACGGAAAAAGTCCCCAAGGTAACTAGACGAGCACATTTCAAGTTTAGGCTTTTGTTCACATGGGTGCTGCTCCCTGCAGAGCTGGTTCAGTTTGTACGAGGGTCTATAAATACTAGAGCAACCATGAATAATTTGTCACTTGTGGGCCCCAAATGCCCTTACTTTATCTTAATTTGCCGTTTATAGGTCTCTTAACACACTGGAAAGTCTATTCTTGTGGTATCTCATGCAGGGTCGGTGTTTTGGTCGTCCGAGACACTCAGGTTTAACGGAACCGGATCGTGTGATAAAGGACAAGGCATTCCAAAAAGCACACAGCAGAATTAGATACCACAACCACAGCAGAGCCTGAATAAATGGACTCCGTTCTTCAGTTCGTTATTTTCTCCAGACCGAGACATGTAATGCGAACACAGCTGGTGTGAGCTGAAGGAAAGTGACCCCTCTGTACCAGAGACCGTGCAGTTTATTTCCCTTAGTCTCTCCGATTTACCACTGAAGTTCACCTTTTTAGTTTATCACACACTCTTGTGACACTTTGTTTTATATTTGAATCACCCGGAAGAGGCTGGATACGTGTGTGGCTGCTCCTCCTACAGCAGTGCCACCACCAGCCCGCGCCGTGACCGGCTGAGTTGTTGATGTCGCGTTTCCGGTATCGCCGATGAATAGAATAACCTTTTGTCTCTCTCATTTCTAGGGGCCATTAATCCATACGCGAAACCCTCACCATCGCTGTTAGTTTGTGTAATTTCTCCTTGTTTTCCTCGGCCACAGCTCGCCGCCTCTGCTGGTTCAGTCGAATCGCAGCCCTCTGGTGCGCGTTTCACCCCTGTTTCCGCCTTCACTTGTCTTATGTGCTTTTGCTGCAAGTACTCCTCACTGACATTCTTTCCTTGGTTCTGCGCGTTCTGGCAGGTGGGACACTCCTGCAGCGGGAATCGGGGTGTATCTGCAGCTGCCGCAATTGCACGCCTTCTCCGCTCCACACAAGCGCAACCGCTTCTTACCGAATCCTTGCGAGCTCTCATGCAGTGAGGTCAGGGGGCTCCCAATACATTCATTTCAGGTCGGAGTTTGCCCTGGCGTCCCCCCGGCCTCCCCACAAAAAAGGGGTCTCCAATTGGCACTGCTTCAGAAACCGCACTTTGCAAAGGGCCTGACAAACGGGCAGTCATATCTCCTCCCAGCTTCAGGTACACCAAGGGCATCCGTCCTTTCGGCGTTCGCCTTTCTTTACCTTACAAGGGGTTCGTGCTGTGGCTCTGCCGCAAAACGCTCTCACATCGCAGCAGCGCGCACACATACATCCCTTTGGCCCCCGTCCCCGGCCTCATCTTGTCTCAGTCTGTCACCGAAAGGTCCCCGGCTCAACCGCAGCCCTCGCGTCTCATTAGTGTTCCTAGTTAGCTAGGTCTTCCCAGGCAGCGAGCTGCCAACAAGGTTAAGCTCTGTATTCGTCCCTCGCGATGCAGCCTCTTTGCGAGCCTGCTCCATTCGGAGCCGTCCCTCAGGACGTTGGTCCTCGGGATAAACCGATCGGATCTTCTCTGGCTTTGTTTGGGGGGGGGCAGCGGCGCACTTTGGGGTCCACGGTGCCCCCCCCTCCACCGTACCCCAGCGGGCATCACACCTTGAGTGAGATTGAACTGGCTACCTTTAGGACCCAGCTGTGCGAGCAGCACCGGAGGAACAAGTGCACAAATGCCGATGCCTGTCCTCATTCGCATTGTCTTACTTGGCAAAGAAGAAATCCGTATGAGATTCTGTATTTGTAAGTTCGAAATTTTCACATGCGCTCCCCGCTTTGCGATTGGCATTGCTGCTTCCTTCCCTTCAGTAAGCGCCTCGTAGCAGCTCGCATGCCTGTTGCTCTTCTGGTGCGAATGGGGCGCTCTCGAGTTTTTTTCTTACAGTGCCTCCGCGCAGTGGTGTACCCCTACGATTTCCATTGTAGTTGCCTACCTTCATGACTTGTCAATTGTGACGAATGAGGAACGTGTCGCTTTGTCACGTAACGCAGTGGAGGTGGCTGGCCCACGTGCCTCCTTTGCCTAGGTGTGCTCATGCATGAGACTCGTAGTCGCTGCCGCTCTCTCTGTCAGCCTTCTCTTCTTTTGCCACCGCTCTATAAGGCTTTCATGCGGGCAAATAAAGAAATCCTTGCGGCTCAAGAAGCTGCATCTATTCGTGTGCCTTTCTGCCGCAACCTACGCATACTTGCTTTATAATCATCTCTGGCCGAACAGCCCCAAGTTGCTGCACGCAGCTGTGTTAACAGCGCTTGCTTACGAGTTGCATGCTTCCTCGTGCCTCCGTACATGTGCAGGCAGGGCTTCCTGCATAGAGCGTTTGTCTCTCTCTGTCTCTCTCTTTCCCTGCCCGCCCCTTAATGTGTCTCTCTTTCGCCATGTCTATGCATAGATGTCTACGTGCTTCATCTCGTTAGTGTGCAGTTAGCAAAGTCTGCCTCGCAATCCGGCAAGCGCCTGCCGTTGCACCGCGTTCTGTCATGCCGCTCTCCCGCGGCGTGTCTGTGTATTGCTGCAGCCCCCAGCTTTGTCCGGGGATAGAATTCCGTCGCTCCAATAAGAAAATGATTTTAGTGCGGCACTGCAACAGAGGCAGGTTCTGCTCTTTTGCGCATAGCAAAGAGGAAGAGCTGTATCATCCGCTGACGTACAAGACCCGCCTTTGTTCGGCCTTCCCAAAGTGTCTCCGTCACTTTTGCCCTTTCGCTCATTACATGACAGAGCTAAGAGATCCTTTTGCCGTTCCGCTCATCCGCAGCGTCTGGGGGGCACAACAAGGGGCGTCTGCAGGGTTGCAAGTGGGAATCCTTTCAGCAGAAGAGGGCCCCCTGCCGCGGGGGGTGGAGAGGCCTTCCCTGCAGCTCCCTGAGTTTGAAAACAAACGGAAGCTGCCGTCCGCGGCTCTGGGGGAGCTTGCGCTGCAGCAGCAGTTTGCCTCTGGCAGCAGCAGCAGCTCTTTGGAGCAACAGCAAAAGCAGCAGCAGCTGCTGCAGCGGCAACAGCAGCAGCAGCAGCAGCCTGAGGGTACAATGACGTCCACTGTTAGCCCCTCGACACAGCAGTCCTTCTGCTTCCTAGGCGACGGCATAGACGATCTGCAGACGCCGTCCAACTCCCTCCAGGCTCCAGACGGGGAAACCACGGTGGGGCCCCCCTCGCATGCGCATGTGCCTCTAGACGTGCTGCTGCAACAGCATTTCAAGCAGCAGGGGGATCCAGAAAAGGAAAGCCACCGCCTCCTGGAGCAGCCTGTGACCAAAGAGCACACAGGCCCCCTCAAATACTGTAGCGACACATCCAGCTCGGATACAGCAGCTGCAGCAGCCGCAGCCGCTATCGCCCCACAGCCAGCAGGAAGCCGAAGAGGAAGAGACTCGCTTCGAGCAGACCCGCTGGACGCGCTGCGCAGATTGCCGTTCGAACGGCTGCATCGAGAGCGGCAAAAGCAGCAGCAGCAGTGCCGACAGCAGCCTCTGATAGAGCCACCATCCCAGAAACCAAAAGGCGGAGAAGCGATCCCCCTTGCAGTGCAGTTGCTAGGGCCCCACGCTCGCGGAATTACTCTGTCTCAGTTGCAGCTGGCCTTGGACCTTGCGCTGAAGCTCGCTTGCGGCATGCCGCAGTCGCATCAACACCAGAAGCAGCAGGGGCAGGAGCAGCAGCAAAGGCAGGAGGAAGACTTACTCCTGCGGCAGGAGCAGGCAGCCCACGAGCAGCAGCAGCAGCAGCAGCAGCAGCAGGTGATGTCGCAGCTGACCGAGGACGCGCTGCTTGCCGTGCTGCAGGCAGCCGCCTTGGCAGGAGGCTGGGAGTCAGCAGGCCAACAGCAGCAGAAACAACAGCAGCACAAACAACAGCAGCAGCAGCAGCAGCAGCAGCAGCAGCAGCAGCAGCAACAGCAGCAGAAACAGCAGCAGCAGCAGCTACAACCCCCAAGGCCCCAGCTGTACGGGGAGGCCTACACAGGGTCTGCCCCATGGGCTCCAGCAAACAACATTGCAACAGACGCCGCAGCAGCCGCAACATCCAGTCTCACTTCGCAGCTTCAACGCTTAGCGTTGTCGTCTGAACACACGCGAGTGCAACAGCAGCAATGCATGCCCCAGCAGCAGCCGTTGCAGGCGCTAAAGCGGGCTGCGCCTCCCCCACCGACTGTGCGCCAGCAGCAGATGCATCATCATCAGGCTCAGTTCTCGAGGCTGCAGCCAGCAGGCCCACATCTTCGCTACGGTGCGTCCTACGTTCCTCACGGAATATCCAGCAGCAGTCGGCAGTATGCTTGGCAAACGGCAGATCCACATTCTGCTCGGGCTTCGCAGCCGCCGCAGCAACTGCAGCAGCAGCTGCAACTGCAGCTGCAACAGCTGCTGCAGCAACAGCGACAGCAGGAGCCCGTGCCCAGTTTACCCGCAGCTAGCAACAGCAGCACTTTCTCAGGATTGCAAGATATTGAAAGAAGCCTCTTGTTGCTGCAACAGCACCAGCAGATGTGTCTCCACCAGCAGCCCCAGCATGCGCAGTATGGGCCCCTTCCACCTAAGGCAACCGCAGAGTTTCTGCAATCAGCTGCTGATATTCCGCAAATCCTTTCATGTGAGTCCGGCCTGCTCCCGTTCCCCCCACACTTCACGGATCATCATCATCATGCGCAGCAGCCCCCGTCGGTCCCTGGAGGGGCCCTCACCACTGGCGTCGACATCCAGCCAATCCGCGGGGGGACGCAGCAGCGCTTCACCCTCCGCAACAGCAACACGGCAGCAGCAGCAGCGGCTGCGGCTGCTGCGTCTGTTGTGCCTCCCCCCTTTCAGCACATGTTTGTGGGTAGCGGTTGGGGAAACGGTAAGAGCGGTGCCTGCGGTGAGCAGCCCCCTTGCTCGGGGCTTGCTGCCAAGCAGCAGCAGCAGCAGCAGCAGCAGCAGCTGAGTCGGAAAACGGCGGAGCCTTCGGCAGCAGATCCTTCACCGCAAGTGACAACCTGTGCTCAAACGCCATTAACAGCACGCACCCTTTCTCCAGTGCAGCAGCAGAAACCTCACAGGCAACACAAGCAGCCAGATCAGCAGCATGCAAACTATGCCCTGCCCCCTGCAGCAGCACTTTTCGAATCAGCAGAATGCACCAGTAGAGATACGACGCCAAACCACTCGCCCGCTGCTTCCATCCGAGAGGATTAAGCTTCCCCCATTTGGAGCAGCAATGGTGTAAACGCATGCATCTCAGAGCTGCGTGTTGCCCTGCACGCAATCGAAGCCCCACCTGCAGCAATTAGCGCTGCGCCTGCTGCTGCTACATCAACTGGAGCTGCCACATGTAGTCTAGCTGCATTCCTTGAGATTCTATGCTGGCTTTTGCCTCTCGAAAGGTCCTTACAGCCTCGGTGCCAAGCACCAGTACACCCGGCAAAATTTGCAGCAATCCGTATGCGCTGCATGCTTGTACTTAACATATACCTTGGCAGATACGTCTGTGCATACTCCGTGCCCCCGCGCCTAAGTGTGTATAAAGTATAAAGCTCTACGTGGGGGCATTGCCTTCATATAGATATGTATATTATGCATGCAGGCAAACGACATGTACATGACTGCACATACACGTAAATGTGGATAGCGTCTACATATATATATGCATTACTATATGCCGACGTAAATGAAGTCTACGCATATGGTTAAAGGCATTTGTCAGTGTGTATATACAGCTTTTTAGAGCTGAGGCACCCAGAAGACAGGAACGGTGGGTAGGGCCTCAGGGGTATCTGCAGATCTTAAAGCAACCGTCCAAGTTGTGCAGATCTGCTGGAATATAGGTATGCGTGGCTCCGTATAACGATAGAGGTATCCAACAATGCGCATTTTTCTATACCTGCATATCTTTCTCACGTATCTTTATGTGTGTGCATTCATACGTGTGTACATCTGTAAGCATACACCAAAAATGATATGCGCACACACCAGTTCATACTGGGACAGAGATGCCCTTGGCAGATGCAATGGATATGACAGGCTGCAAAGGCGTGTGTGGGCGCGTGTATGTACAATCCTGCTTTTGCCTCCTGGGGGTCTTTTTTTCTTTGCCCTACCTGCAGTGACGGCAAAAGTGTATCTGCTGGAGTAGCAGCAAGAGTGGCTGAAACAACAATAGGGGGCAGTGCGCGTTTTGCGTTTGGTTGAAAGAAAATCAACAGCAAGAACAGCTATTCACGACCAAAGAGGAAGATGTCAAGGAGAGGCGACACGTAGTGGGTCTGCATGTAGCCATTTCTGCGGACAAAAGCACATACGCACGTATAGAGTGGGAACCCTCCGGTTGCAATAGTAGACAGTGTATGAACCGATGCAGACAGATTAGCGCACGGACACGTGAGCAGGTAGGGAAGCAGTCGAACGCGCACGGAGAGGCTGATAATATACAACCGAAAGAAAGGGGCAGAGGAAGCATAAAATGGGTGATACAGGCAGCCATATACTGATGCACCGGATGCGCGCAGACTTGGAGGCAGGCAGATGGTAGAGAGCAGGAAACGCAGCAGCAAATGCAAGAGAACGTGTAGAACAGATTGTCACCAGGGCTGTCCGACAGCGAAAATGGGACCTGACCCAAGAAGCCAGAGGGCTTCAGCGGCTGTTAAATTCCCCGTTTCCTGATCAGCGTAAAGGGTCAAAGCTGTTGAAACAGGTGCATGCTTGATGGGCTCAGGGGGATAACGCAAAGTACTACTTGCAATGCCCGTGCACACTGCCACTGTTGCACTTGGCAGGGCACTACCTCCAACAAGCTGCACATAGGTGTCACGCATAAGTGCTTGCTGCATAAATGTGCGTTTTGACGCCTGTCTGTATATATGCAACACAACTACTGCACCTGGGATTTCCACTGCATGATGATAGTCCCTTGGGCAGCAGTAGTTGATTGGCATCTGCTATTTTGTAGAGCATTAAAAGCCAGTGCGGTGCATGCTCCTAGACCGTCCGTACGCATGATTCTTATACCAGAGAATCCCCACAAGGGAACTTGCGCGCTGGTATTCCAGGCTCTCTCGAGCCAGCAGGGAGGAGGCTGCGCCGTAGGCAGAAAATTAGTGTGAGAACCCCGAGCAGTATCCGGTACAAAGGGGCGTTGTGGGCTTCAGGGACCATACAAGAGCCTTTTGCTATTTGAATAAGCCCCTAAGAGATGCCCCGGCTGCAGACCAGCTATTGCCGCTTTGCTATCATACTTGCTTGCTATAAGACACCGTGTCCAAACAGCAGACCACTTTTCGATCGGCCCATATTGGCTTGGTTTGGTGTTCTCCTGGGCCTTCTCGAAACAGGTGCCCAGCAATAATATCCAAAACGAATCATTTGTACGTGTGGGAAGGCGCACAACGCAATGCTTAATTTGCATTAACTTCCGAAGAGCCCGTGAGAATCTCGCTTTCACGAAGCAGGGACTCGTTAGTCCTAACCTTGGGGATAAGCCCAAAATTGAAACAAGTACTCCGTATGAATGTTCTTCTAATTCCACATTTTCACGCGCTAAAGACTGCCCTCAGCACGTCTGCAAGTCAGGCCCCAGTAGCCATGCGAAGGCCCACTGCTTCTGGAGCAAGTCAGTGTTGCAAATGGACACCCAATGCTATGCAGTGACGACACTTATAAACCGTTCGACTATCATGATGGCTTCTGGATGAACTGGTTTGTGCAAGCCAAGTGGGGCCTCGGGTTAATGCCGTTCTCACACTATCAGTGGGCACCAGGGCCGCGACAGACACAAGTCCCTTGCTTAAAAGGAAGCTCTAGTTCGCTGATGATTCTTTGCTTCCATCCACAGTGAAGCTTTATATTATTATTGCCAAGCTGGGATGTGGGGAATGGCATGTAATTAATTTGCATAATATGGAATAGGCTGCCCCAAAAATGCTTTAGTCGAACAAAAAATAATGTCAGCTTTAGTGACGGCAAAATCACCAGCAAGTGCGATTTTTACGGCCTGAAAGCTTTATTGGCCTACAGGAGCGTAGTGCAGGAGGATTGCTGCTCCAACTGCTGTTTGAGCAGTTTAAGCCGCCCTCTAAGCACTGGCATCTGAGGAACTAGGATGTCAGGATGAATTTAGTGTAGCACGGCTGTCAGCATCTAAATTGAACCAGCACAGGTGCACGGCTACCTACACAAGAAGCTTATATGAATTTTATGTGGCTAGGGCAATTGTGGTTGCAGCGGGCTGCGCTACAGATAAGGCAATTTCCACACTAGCTACATACAAATATCTACAGAGTTTATTTGGTTTGGTTGTTGCTGTATCTGTTTTATTGCGGAGTACTATAAGATCAGCGCAATCGAAATCAATATTGTGGTCCTGCGCACTAGTTACTGGGACTAGCTAGCTGTGAATACTTGGGGTGCAAAGAGAATGCAATACTCTAGCTGCCCCTCTCACCTGATGTCAAATCCCTGAGGGGCTTAGGCAGGAAAGAGGTAGTCTTTTTTATAAGGACGCGCTGAATGCTTTTGATTGGATCTATTTTGAATATGAAGTTGAGTTTATTTCATATTAGAGCTCAAATGTAGCATTTTAGGTGGTAGCATCCTGTGATTCTATGCAGCTGTGCCCCCACCGACTGTGATTACAGAGGGATATCATGCTGCTCTCAGAGTTTTTCTGGTTTTCGGTATAGCCATCTGAGAGCTCAGTCAATTATTTTTAGCATGCAACGGTCTGTGAAGAAAAATCTTTGGCGACGGAGCTGAACAGTGAAGCAACACCTACTGGGGCGGGAGAGGCCGGCTTACCAGCTAATGTGAGAGCAGTAGCTTTACACCTGGTAGAGGGGGATTATTTGTCAGCGGGTAAGAAGATTATGTATGCGTAAATAATGATGCTGACCAGAAATGTGTGAAGGCTTTTTGGGTTGACAATAAGTCGACGGCTTCACTAGCCGTTCGGAGATTTACCTCGCTTGGTATGAATAAATGAAGGGAAACAAGTGCTCTTTACTGCTTGTCTGCTCGAGGGTGGTAAGTTTTGTGAGAACATTTCAACACGGAAAGCTGTCTGCAGATCGGTATATCAAAAGACATGCAGCTTTGGTTAGCCGAAGCCATAGGCAGACAAATGGCTGCGCTATCAGTTGTTTTCCTCAGGCCAACCTGAAGTGTCACCTTAGGTAGCTGGAGGCTGGGCAGCAACTCAGTGATTAAGCACCTGACCACTAGACTTCTCAGACGGTTAAATCAAGATTTGAAAGCCATATACGCACAACTTCTGCATCATCGGCTAAAATGCATGAGCCACGCCCAGATTCTTGGAGGATGGGTTTGTGTCAACCAGGCACGGTCTCCAGTCTGATGCAAACTAGAAAAGAATGTCAGAGGTAAACACCGCCTCTAGGCACCCTTAGACAGCCCCCAGCACTGCACCTGAAGATATTGTAGGAGAATCGTCCAACTGTTCCGTAAATGCAAGCACATATAAAATCCCTAGGAACGCGAACAGCAGGACAGGCCTAGCGGAATCAGGTTGTTTGGCAAAGAAGGCAGATAAGGAAAACATCGACCCCGTCACGAAGGCTGCGGCGAGTTGAATGGCGCTACAAAAGATAGAGGCGCAGAGAAGGACCAACCACGGGCCAATTCTGCATCTATACAATTTCACATTGGTAGTCATCATCTGCAAGCGCTTTCTGTTACTAGATGTGAAATGGATCTGTTATGCGATGAAACGATACTTACGCAGATCCTAGGTTGCAGGTTGGCCGATCAGCGGCAGAAAACAAGGACCCCGAAGACTATGGCAGTCAGAACTCGTAGTAGGGTGCAATTAGCATGGTCCTTGTTTCCTCTATTCTACTGATGTACAATGCGTAAAATCCTAGGATTGTCAAAGGTGACCCGTTGGAAGGTGTGTGTGCGGTCACAGCTGCGCGCATCAGTCACCAGGAACAAGCGCATTTAGGGTTTTTCCAACAACAACGCTTCATTATGGTGAGAAGGGAAGAATAGTTAGCCCAACAAGCTGAGCCATAGTCTTTACGCTGGTGGATCAACAGAGCTGTACGAGAAGTGTTCTGGGCATGCATCCCGTCTTACCAGCTTCACAATTAGTTGTTTCCTCAGTTATTCGACTAAGCACTCAGCAAAGGAACAGAGGGAACTGAAAGGTACCAAGAAGGGCCTCGTTTATGTGCTATGTCAGTTCGCAGGCCGGCCACCTTCTTGGTCGTGCAGCACACCGTTTTGAGCTAATTCCTAAGTCACCTGTAAGCTGTGCTCCTCAGCATTCTATGCCTTCACAGCATGAATAGAAGACTGAGATCCACAATGGAGGCTTTCATGAGCGAAAAAGCACGACAAACAGCAGAAATCGACCAGCGCATCTCGGAATAGCCTGGTGCTTCTAACAAAAAAGGGCAGGAGGCAGGGAATATGCGATAAATTTAGGCCCTTGAACACGATTACTGCAAAGTAAAAGTCTCGATGCATCATACCGCAGAGCTACTTGACGAACAGCAAGGCACAGCAGTCTACGTGACATTTCGTTTCACAAATGCCTGCGTGCATGTCTTCATTCACCCTAAAAGCAGGTACGTAACGGCGTTCCACACACGCAGTCGCAATCTCGCGTACACCCCTATGCAATTTGAACTTGCTATTGTCTACGCTGAGCGGCCGGTTCAAGTAGATTGGGAGCTACATGGGCCTACCAAGAAGGGCTGGACTGCTGCTACACGGTTAACATTCGGCCGCATGTCCAAAATCACTTGCAGCGCCTTGAGCGTGCTCTTCAGCTTTTACGAAACAAGTGGTGGTATGCGAAGGCACACGACTGTTTGGGTTTTAGAAAAACCATTGAGGTTTTGGGATCTCATGCTTCCACTGCAGAAATTGAACCCGAACAGGTGAAAATTGAAGCCATCCAGACGTGGCCTTGATTTTGTTCGCATTTGTGCAAACGCTTCACAGTTCTACAGGTTTGAATTTTATGACCGGAATTTCGTTTCTGCACTTGCTCGGATCGCTGGGCCTTTGGCTGACCTGCAAAGGAGAAACCGCTTTGTGAGTTGGATGGAGAAGCCTAGTACCGGAGAAGTTGCAAGGACGCATATCGGCAACTTTCAAACTTCTCTGCCACTCGCGCTGCCCAAGTATAACCGCTACTTTTACCTAAAACGATTTTTGACGTAAGTTTGGGTGCTACTCTCGCTCCAAAAGCTGCGACTTCTTCTGAACACCAAGGTACTACTTGTTTTCCTCATCGCTTCACTGAGGCTGCACAACGATATCCAAAGCAAGGACAACATCGGTATGATGAGGCATAAAAATAAGATTTTTATTTGGTCTCAGCAAACCTTCTAGGACGTTGATAATCCCAGCACTGCTTGTTGGCTTGGCTGACTCCTGCAGTACGACTTTACAGTGAACGGTTCTAGGAGCATGACCGCCATGGCCGCCGACGCACTCCCGTGACGCTCCGAAAATTTACCAGTGG